TAGAACGCCTGATTTGGCTGAATCACTTGTGATGTATGCGATAGAGCCGGCGCCATATATCCAGCGTGAACGGCAAAATCAAAAACAGCACCACGCCAATACCATGCCGGCCCAGCACAGCTCGAGCAGCACCAATACGAGGACCAGCGGTTCACAAGCTCTGAGCGCGCTTTTCCAAGCTCGCAACGGTGCCCAGGGCTCGCGCGCCACACCAACTGAGGGAGAGGGGTCCAATGACAATGGCTCAAGTGGGGCCTTGCGCCGCCAGTCAAACAATAACGGAAGTCCACTGCGCAGCTCCTCAACTTCCCGGCCTTCGCTTCGACTCGAAGGGCACGATGACACCGAGTCGAGCACAGATCCACCCCGACACCACAGCAGTACTATCACGGAGGAGCTGGAGGATGGCAGCGATGAGGCGCCGGGCCAAGCTCCAGGTCCCTTGGGGTCGAATACGGACGTGCCTGAACCGCCCGAGAACGTACCTCAGGCCACGACCGATGGAGATTCTCGATTACCGTATGCGCCACCCTCGGAGTCGTCATTGGAAGAGACGAATTCCCAGGCGACGAGGCCCCAAGAGGCCACACCCAAAGAGGCCACACACAATGACCCTCCGGGGACCAAGACGAGTTCCGATCTGCATTTGAGCAGCGAAACAGTCCGGAATAGTCCTGCACGAGCCGCGTCGAGTGAAAAAGTGAGCTCAAATGACGAAGCCACTCAGCACGAGGAGCAATCATCCATTGAAAACTTGAGCCCTACTGCTCGATTGCAACAGATTCACCGGCAGGGCACAGTGGCTGGTGGTGCCGCGCAGCTCGAGTCGAACCCAGATGTATACGTTTGTCGGATCTCACGTGATGTCCTCTATCTGGGTAAGTGTCGATGAGTGTTTTTTATTTGTGGTGCATGTTTATTTTTTTTTTTTTTTTTATTTTTTATTTTTTTTTTAAGAGCGTGGTTTTAGCAGCCGACTCATGCCGCATTTGTTTGCAGGCGCCCCACAAGTGCTTTGCAACGTCGCAGCCCATCGCCGGGAACGGGTCAATGTGCGCGACTTTGATGAAAGCGAGCTGCATCTCTTTGACGGCGCAACACTTGTCGATTCGTCCGTGCCCTCAGCGGCGGGCATGGACACAGGGCTTTGTATGTTTGCCGTTTTCTCAATTGCGCACAATTCTGATCACACCATTTACTGACGCGATGACATCCTGTATGTTGGACTTTAGACTTGTTCCTGGCTCATCTGCGCTCGGTCCGCGGCGTGGACATGCCCTGCTTCCGTCTTCGACCTGTCATTGTTCTAATCGACCGGGTACGCTAGGTTGATTTGCAGGCTGTTTCCAGGCTGCCTCCGAGCCACACCCAGACCACATTCATATGCATTCACATGCATACATACATACATACATACCCTACAGACACCTTGGTCAGCACATGGGTTTGTGCTCATGCATGTTTGGTCTTCGTTGGGGTGATCGCCACAGGAACCCTTTGCCCAGTTTCAAGACTTTCTGCGCCTTTTCCCAGAGTACTACTACTATGTGGGCGACTTTACGCAGCTTCACAACAGCCGCTTGACGACCCTGTTGTATAAGGCCGAATCTGTAATCAGCATGAAGCCTCTCAAATTATCAGAATCTCAGCAAGATTCCTACATGTCCGATGCCTCGAGTATCATGACTATGACCCGCGTCGCGCGGTGCGTTCCGGGTTTTCTTTTTTCCTCTCTCTCTCTCTCTCTCGCTTCGCCATCACCTCCGGTCTGGACGCGCTTACTTGACGCTTGAATGACTTCTTTTGCGGTGCATCGTCGTGTCACAGTTACTTTCCAAACTTGCGCATTTTGACGGAGCTTGCACACCAAGAGAACATGCGCTTTATGCGTCTCCAACGCGCCCCGATCTACAAACTGCGTACGTTGACTAAAACATGCTCGTACACGTGCGTGCTTCTGCACACACACACACACACACACACACACACACACACACACACACACACACACACACACACACACACACACACACACACACACACACACACACACACACACACACACACACACACACACACACACACATCATGCGTCTGCGTCTTGATTCGCTTTTCTCCTGTGAAAACAGCTACTCGCGAGGTGATTCATACGCGAGCATATGCGTCGGGGTCGGTCGTGAGCCCGAGCATGCTGGATACGCTCTTGTATCAGGGCTATCTCAAAGGCTCCGGGATCCTCAGGATGTTTGAGCTGGTAGGTCCACGCTTGGATATTGTTGTCGCCTTGAGTGCTGACAGACACAGTTTTTCTCGAGTCCCTGCTTTGTCAGGATGTCAACATGTTGTTGTTGTTGTTGTTATTGTCGTCATTCTATGATGAGGATATTGATTGGCCCATTGTCATTTAGCTCACACTTTTATGCGTCCGACTGCCCATAGCTATTGGGCGTCCAGCAGCTCAGATTTGATCGTTGCCAGCCATGCGGTGTCTTGGCACAGGTAGAAATCACGGCTCTTCTGCTGCGATCACTCAAACGGCCGACCTACGGCGCAGCCTGTCGCTACATTCTCAAGGTTCGCAACCTGGCGTTGCATTGTGGTGACTTTGAAGCATGGGTGGTGGACGTACCGGTTGCCATGATGCGCACCTTGACATGACTTGCTACACCCTGGCTGTTTAGAATTGGGGCCACATACCCATGGGCCTTTACGTCCTCGATTTGCCCGGTATATTTCGCACAAACCTGAGTGGCGAGCAGCGAGCTGAAAGTAAGAACAGCGAGGACGACACGCGCTTTGATCATTTGCCCCACAATCCCAGCATCCGCGATACGGCCTATGTGTTGTCCAACCCACCAGAATGGACACCACTCCGTATGGGCGATATTGTGTATGTCATCACAAGCGTCCAAGCCCAGCAACGATCCTCGGCATCGCCACCAGTTGTGGGCCAGGAGCTGCGTGATACAGGCGCTGATGAGGGCGAGCAGGAGCACGACTCAGACTCTAGCACTGATTCTGACGACAGCTTTGACGGGGCAGAGAAGATGGAGAAGGTGGATCAAAGCCAAGTTCAAGCCTCACGTGTGCCTGAGACGCAAGCCAGCGCACCCGCCAGAGACCCACCCCCTGTCAAGGGCCTGGGAATGAATCGCTTTATCGTGCGCCGCATTCCCACCAAGCAAAGCGAGTCTAGCTACAAGGAGACGGGCGACTTGTAGTGGCACGTTTGTTATGGGCACGCCACTTCACTTGAGATTTAACAAACATTGGATGCACTGTGTAGGCCGCACACCATTTTTTGTTTTTGTTATTTGCCCGAACGAACAACGTCATTTCCCACATTAACACGGATCCTTCTGATCGACAGACTTGATTATCTGATGTGTTATGCCTTGTTAGTATTTTTTCTTCTTTTTCTTTCTTTTCTTTTTTTTTTTTTTTTTTTTTGCCTTTCCGATGAGTGACGCGTGGTCGCTTTTTCAATCTAGTATTACGAGTTGGGTCCATGAGTTGCGGACCCAAGCTAATTGAGAATTGCAACCTCACCACTCGAGTTTGGGAGGCTATTAATCTTGATCAATGATATAAATTGGAGTGAATGCTCCAGGATAAACCGGGAACGGAAAGAAAAGTCCGACTTGAAAGTGTCTGGTGAGCAAGGTGCAGGTGACTGATTTGGATGGGGAAAGAAAGGCAAGGACCTCCCCCTATTGCCAGCGTAGATGGGCAAGGGCGCGGTTGGCCTCGGCCATCTTATGCGTCTCGATGCGCTTGCGGACCGCGGCACCCTATTATTGCAGAATTTCGAGAGTGTGTGGCATCAAGGGAATGAGTGAGCATGTGTAGTCGGCGATCAACGAGCCTCATCACAGGTCGAAAAGTATGAAACTCGGCGGCAAGCTCACCGTGTTGTTGGCAGCTTCCATGATTTCAGCAGCGAGAGCTTCGGGCATCAAAAGTTTCTTTCGCGAGCGCGCAGCGCCAATGATCCACTTGATGGCAAGAGATTGACGGCGCTTGGCTGTCAAAGGGGTGGGCACTTGATGGATGGAACCAGACTTCTTGACCGGAGTCAGGGCCACCGTGGGTTTGACATTCTCAATGGCGTCTTGAAAGACTTGCACTGTCAAAGTTGCCACGCATGCCATCAGTGTGATGAGCGCGAGGAGTGATCAAACAGCCTTTTTGTTGATTTGGATGACGAGGAATGGAAATTGAAAGAGAAAGATTCAAGGACCTGCTCAGACCACATACTTGGGTTGACAGGCTTGGGTACGGGGATGGCACCGGAGGGAGTCTATCAAGAAGGAAAGGAATGTTGATATGAGCGACAGCCAGGGGATAGGTCGGCTCAAGACTGGGCTCATGATGCGTACCATCACTACTAAACCCTGCTTCAGCGCGGCCTGGCGTGCCCTGTATAGCAGTTGTTTGCCGTGAGGATGTGTGCCAAGTCAAAGGGAGCCCGGATTGATACACTTGGCGAAGCGCGGAACCCATTGAAAAAGATGTATTATAAGATGTATCAAGACTTACTCGTCGAACTTGGCCTTTTTGATAATGATGAATGTCTCTTGTAGGACGCGAAGGGCGGCTGTCTTCTTGCCATCATACATCAAGCAGTTGACGAATTTGCTGTAGGACGCGAGGAACACGAGGCAGATTGAGTGTTACAAAAACCAGGTTGGTGGAAAGTGCGTGAGTAGAGAATGTACACGTGTGTGTGTGTGTGCGTGTGTGGAGCAAGTTCCATTTCAAAAGCCAAGCACAGGGATTTGGTCCGCCGCAAACGTACGCAGCCACGGGGTCGCGCATGAAAAAAGGGGTGCCTAGGTCACCATGGGCTTGCGCGCCGCTGCGTGCAGTGCGAATCTGCTCCGAAAGAGAAAGGAGCTTATCGGCCTCCTCATTTGCTTTGGCAGCCTCGCTATCCTTAGACATGGGGCTTGAGCTCATTTGGCGGCGGGCGGGTACACGGGTAGCCGCAAGCGTAGCCCTAGATTTCGGCGGGACACCATCAGCGCGTGGTTCACTTGGAAAAGAGGAGGGGAGCAACGCGTCTATCCCAAGTCAAAGAAAAGTTACCTCGAGAGGTGTGGCGCTTGGGCACGAATGCTCTGTGCGCTTTTGGACAACCAGACCTGGGCCGAGGCCCCGCAGGCCCGCGCCGCTGCGACCGCAACCGCTGCCATCGCCATCCTCAAGTGTGCTGAAAAAAAAAAAAGAGAGAGAGGAAGAGGGCCTCGTGAGACGCCACTCACTGTCTTCGCTTTCTGCTCGTTTGTCAGAAACTTTTTAGAATGCTCTCTCTCTCTCTCTCTCTCTCTCTCTCTCTCTCTCTCTCTCTCTCTCTCTCTCTCTCTCTCTCTCTCTCTCTCTCTCTCTCTCTCTCTCTCTCTCTCTCTCTCTCTCTCTCTCTCTCTCTCTCTCTCTCTCTCTCTCTCTCTCTCTCTCTCTCTCTCAAGCGGTGTCTCTGTCTCTCGCAACAGTCGCTCTCTGCCTGCTCGGACACGGACACGCGCACTTGGTCGACGTGACATCGGCTGCGGGAACCGTTTCGTGCAAAGGGCGGCGGCGGAGAAAGGACTGGGGCTTTGCAATTGGAGAAAGCAATAGGTTTGAAGAGTGTTGGTGTGGTGACACGGCGGCAAGGCGGCGAGGCCGTACAGTCAACATGTTCAAATGGCTTTGGCATTGAGTGGCTCTTGACCGTGCTCAAGTCTGCCCGTGCTCAGCGCTCGCACAGCGATGGGGCGTAAGGCTGGTTCCGCCGCGGGGCCGGCCTCGGCAGCGGCTGCAGCTCTTGGTGCCAAATTAGATCCCATCGCTTTTGGCTGGCTCGGGGCAGAGAACATTACCGAGCCGAGCTGCGTGACCAACGCCCACATGCAGCAGGTCTGTTTGGACTGCTGGCCAGCCAGTTCGTGGCAAACGCGTGCAGCTCACCCGCTCATGCCCGCATTGTACAGGTCTATGGACTGGGGCCTTTTGTCGAGTTCAAAAAGTCAGACCTGCAGCTGGCCCTTCCCCCTCCTTTGTGGTTGTTGCTTGCCTCCTGGTGTATTCTTCTGGGCTCACCGTCTCGTGTGCTGGACCCATTCTCCTCTCTGGAGCAGAACCAAGCGTTCGAACCCGGGCCCACGGGTGCCATGGACCCGTGACAAGCTTGGTCTCAGCAGCTGGCTTAAAGGATCACGACAAGCCGGTGCGCCCAAGCTCAGATCCCTTTTAATTCTAACTTTACACTGCTGGTCTAGCTCACGTTTCAAAGACTGGGATGGCTGTGCATGTGCTGACCTTTGTCCCATCGGACGTTGCTGCACGTGTAGCTAATCTCAAGGCTTTGGAGACTGAAGGTGTTCCCGTTCTTCGTGATCCGGTGTGTCTACTCGCTGACTTTGCTTTTGATGCGTTCTCTGACGGCCGCCCGACCATGTTCAGGATCAACCTACCGGACTGTACAACCTCGGCGCGACCTGCTATGCCAATTCACTGTTACAGGTAGGTCTGCCTTCTTGTTCATCCCAATTACGTCCCATTTGATTTGAGGGCACGAACGCGGGCTTACTTCTTCTTCCCCTTTTCTTCTTTATTTCACGACTCGATACAATCCCCAAGATTTGGTTTCACGACACTGGCTTCCGTCGCGCGCTGTTCGAATGGAAACCTTCCTCGGCCGTTGGGGACGCCGATGCTCAAATTATGCGTCAGCTGCAACTGACCTTTGCCTTCCTGAGCTCTTCCTTGCAGCGGTCTGTTGTTTATTCAGCGGTCCTGCTGTTGCACTCCCAGAACGAGCCAAGTAAATTCATCACGTGTCACCACTTTGCAGAGCATACCGACCAGCACACCTCGTGCAAGCCCTCAAGTTGGAGCCACATGTCCAACAAGTAGGCCCTTTATGCGCCCAGCTGCCCTGGTCTATGCTGCCATCTGGCTTTGTGTCACGTGCCCTCTGCTCTCAAGCGCCCTTGCTTTTTTTTTTTTTTTTTTTTTTGTTTTTTTTGTTTTTTTTGTGCCTGTTCCTCGTTGTTTGGCAGGATTCACACGAGTTTCTCAAGCTTTTTGCTGCTCTCATCGAGCGCAACTTTGAGCTTCAGGTCCAACCCGCACTCATGCGTACAAATGCAAACATAAACTCAAACGCAAGCTAACGGTGGTTGTGGGGCGCAATTGTTTTCAATCGGTACGAGCAGGGACCGCCGCTCAATGTCTTTTTCAAACACTACAGCGGCCGTATGCTTTATCGCACAACCTGCAAGCACTGCCAGCGGCCTTCCGACCGGGCTGAACATTTCCATGAGTTGGAGGTTCATTTAGAGGTACGGAAGGACCTCTGGCGGGCAATTCGAATTGACCGTGAGGGACAGATTCGAATTCACATGCGCTGCGACCTTTCTGGGCCCACTTGTGGTGTAGCATGGGGATCTCATCCGATCCTTGCAAGCCATGCTGACCGAGGAACACCTGACTGGTATGGATGAAAGGGCCCGTCGTTCTGTCGTTGGTCGTGCATCTCTTGCGTGGGTACTTTGTCCCAGTTCATGCACGTGATGCGAACGCGCCGTCTTGATTACACGTAGGCGATAATCAATACCATTGCAGCCAGTGTGAGGCAAAGCACGATGCCGCACGCCAAGTGCTTCTGGACCAGCTTCCCGACGTTCTTCACTTGCAATTGATGCGGTAGGCTCGTGGACAACTTGAGAGTCGCGCATTTTGTTTCAATATGGATATGGTGGTGTCAGAGATGGTCCAAATGGACTACAGTCCCCTCATCTTGTCTGCGTCTGGTGGACCTGGTTTACATGCTAGCTTTGTCTATGACTTGACCACCTTCCGCAAGAAGAAGGTCACCAAGGCGTTCCGCTTTCCAGCCGTGCTGGACATGTCTGCTTTTGCCAAAACTACTCAAGGGGCCAAGAAGAGACGTTCGAGTGCGTCTATCATCCGTTGAGCCCGTGCCACTCAAGCTGCCGTCAAACGTCACTTCATTTTCTTATTTATTCATTTTTCATCGTGGCCCGAACGTGATAGGTGACCGCCTTTATGATCTCAGTGCGGTTCTTCTTCATCGGGGCAGCTCAGCCACCTGCGGTCATTACATGGCTCAGATCCGACATCCCAAGGTGCGCTCTTCTTCAGCCCCCGACTCTCTAAAGATGGATACTTTGGCACGACAGTTGTCTCATTCTTTTTTTTTCTTTTATGTTTTCTTTATTTCGACAAAGCAGACTGGCAAATGGTTTCTTTTCAACGATGAGGAGGTGACGGAGCAGGCTTGCGGCGAGAACGGGTGCCCTTTGTTTGTTGACCCCCCAATGAAAGGTATGTCCGAGTGGGATTGCCTCCTGAGCATGTTTGTGCGATTGATGCCATGTAGAGGACGTCTATGACAGTTTTTTTTTTGCTGCGAGCTTACTACTCTTGGCCCTGCTTTGGCGTTGACACACAGCGCCCACTGATGCAGCCAAGCGTAAGGCTAGTCAGCTTGCTAGCCAGGGCAACCTCTCCTCTACCATGGCCTACATGTTGGTGTACCGACGTCGCGGTTTGGGTCAGTTTTTGAGTGAGCATGTTCACTGTGCGATTGTACTACGTTCTTCATAATACACGCACCACACACTGCTGCACAAAGACTCTCATCTCTTTTTGGCCCTCTTGCTCAACTCAGATGCAGCTGCAAATTCAGCTGAAGCAACGCCGAATGTCAATTCATTTGACGTTCCTGTGCCAGCGGACCTAAAAAGCATCGTTGAAGCTGACAACACAGCCTATCAGGCAGAACGGTCTGCTTGTAGCGCCAAAACTGTGCGTGCAGGTCTCTCCTCGCTTTGTGCTTTGAGCTTGCTCGCGAAGGACCTAGGCTACGGTGACTTCCTCACGCATGGTTTGCCCTCTTGCTTGCCGTCAAGGCCGAGCTACGCAAGGACGTTGTGAACTTGACGGAGCAGGTCACTGCAGTCATCCGAGCTCTCAACGAACGTGCGCTCAATGCTCGGTCCTCTACCCTTTGGGTGCTTGCCACCTTGTCATGGGCATGCTGGCTCACCCCATTCGCTGTTTGATCAATGTAGGTCCGAAGGACGAATCGGGCACAGAGGTTGAATGGGTCCCACGTGATTGGATATCCAGCTTAAGTAAACTGGAAATCAATTACCCACACCCCACTGATCCTGCCATCCTTGAGGCTCAACGAGCAATGGCTGCCTCCAATCGGGCTCATGAGGGAGCAGAGGCCCACATCGGTAGGATGGCTGCCCCTTCTTTTCCAGCCCCTCCCATGTCTGCTTGTGCAAGCTCATTTGCTTTACCTGCCATGGCATGAAACAGACGATGAAGGGCAAGGCGCGGTGAACGAGACACGTGTTTGCGCAAAAGATGGCACTGCGCGAGCTAACCTTGACGGGGACGTTTTGATCCTTGATGGCGATGGCCAAGCAGTTACCCTGCATGCTTCGGCGCCGCCTTCTAAGGCGGCGCCAGGAATATCTCAGAATGGAGAGGATCAAGGTGATGAGGTGCTTCTGGTCGAAGATGTGCCTGCTGGAACAAGTAATGGTAATTCCTCAAGTAAGCGCGATCTCCGCGTCTCTGTCTCGATGTTGTGTAGTGGAGAGTGTAAGCGTCACGATGCGCCCAGAGACTTGGCCTTTTTTTTCTCATTTGTGGTTTTGTCTGATGGAGCACAGACCAACTGCCGAAAGGCCGTTTTGAAGTACCTGGAAACGCGGCCATCTTCATAGAACCGCCTGCTCTAGACTGCACTCCACTTGTTTGTGTACATGGCAGGTCTGTTCAAGGCCCGTGCGTCGCTTCACAAAGCGTCTCACGAACGATACGTGTTTGCGCCAGGCCCCATCTTGTTTCTCATTCGTTGCTGTTCCCAATGCTCAACCTAGACTCAATCCAGATCAGATCGACCGGGCACGAATTGTTACACCAAAGGCCGTGGATATGGCCGTGGCACTCGGCTGCCCTGTTGTGCACCGGCTGCCTGCTCCCTCTGGTACGTGGAGAGCGTGGCCTGGCAATGTAGCGCGAATGACCTGCAGCTCGTGTGAATGGCTGGGTGGGTCTGGCACTTGCCTCATACTCTTTTTTTTCTCCTCTTTTTTTTTCTCCTCTTTTTTTTTTCTCCTCTTTTTTTTTTCAAACTTTGTGGTGGTTCAGAGGCACTGTACTGCCGTGACTGCGTGGCCAACGTGGTTGCCACGGAAAAGTTGCGCTCCGATTTACTGACGGACCAACTTGCAGTGGCCGCCTACTTGAAAGAGGTGCGTGCTGTTGCAAAAGCCCTGATTGGCTCCCTTTCTCTTTCCCTCCTTCCTGGCTTTTTCATGAGACTTCACCTTTTTCGTGCTTTTGGTGGCAATGGATGTCCAGCACTTTCGGCCCAGCTCGCTTGAGCGTCGTGCCCAGGAGATTATGCAGCTAGATGACGAGGAGCCGATCATTTTGGCACTGAGCGCCCTGAAGGGTTTTCAACGACTCACCTCCTCCTCAAAGCCAGAGCAGAGCTTCAATGAAGCTGCTCTCTGTCGCCACGGTCCGTGCCTTGTGCATCACATCATTTGACACGTATCTGTGCTCCTACTTACCTTTTGGTTTGAATCGGCAGGCAATCTGACTACTGCTATCAATCAACTTTGCGTTGTACCCAAACCATGTACGGTGCTGTGCTCGCATTTAGCTGGCAATGCGGAAACACCCCCGTGTTTGGGACTCGGCGCGACCCAGGTGTCTCACTGCTTCCAAAAATCTGTTTCCTGTATTCTGTTGGCCAGTGTTTGAACGAATGGCCTCCTATTATCCCACTTGTGAAGAGATTTCTCCGAGTGCCGAGCGCTGTCGTATCTGTTTGAAAGAGGTGCGACGTCAGATTGGCTTTGCCTCAGATTAAGGCGGCAGACTGGCAGCCGCAGGATTCGCTCACAACATGTGCTTTGGAATGGGCGATTTCAAGGAGGAGCGCCAAGTCCAAGCACGCGCTGAAAACGCAGAACGCGCCTTGCAGGAAAAGAATGAGCTCGACTTTCTTCTTCGGTCCTCCTCTGCACTGCCTGCGATGGTTGGTTGTGCGCTATCGCATTCGTCCCCAAAGAGGCTCATGGCGCATTGCCGATCACATTCATGTTGCAACACCATCATGCGTGCACGACCTTGTCATCAGGCTGCCGCGCGAACCACCCAGGCAGATGGTGAGGCTGATGCCTTGGAGCCCATGCTTTTTGTGCTTCCGCGCTCTTTTTCGACAGAATGGCGCGACTGGGTGAATCGTCGAAAGAGAAGCGCCGTAACTCGACCTGAAGCCATTGACTTGCACGTGAGTGCCTGTTCCCCATAATTGCATGCTCGCCTGGCGCCTCAGCCTGTCCCCTCTTTCTGTTTCGTTCAAGATTTGGATGGACCAAGTGGAGTTTTTGTTGCATGCCCTTGCACCTCGTGTCACTCATTGGACTTTCTTTTATAGGCCTTGCTCTGCGAGCACCAACTCTTTCCTGTGGACCCTGTGTTTGATCTCAACGAAGCGGGAACCGGCTTGAGCCTCGGACGCTATCAGCGCGATGAAGCGGAGGAGCCGTTGAGGTATGCAACAACCGCAAAAATGCTGTCGCTGCTCTCGGCTCCACGCGTTTTTGGGCAATTCCTGTAGATTAGTTGGACTGATGCGAGTCGCGTGCACTTCTCTGGCCGCATTACGTGTAGCTTCGAGCTGCTTCGTCCCTCCGAATGGGCGGCTCTCACGTCTCAGTATCCAGTCAAACCCTCGAATGCTAGCATCAAGCTCCAACGCACGGCAACGGGCATTGTTTCGTACGTACAGCTCAAGAATCATTTTCCTTTTTTTTTTTTTTTTTTTTTTTTTAATATATTTTTTGGTTGTTCATGTTTGCTTTGCGCTTTTGCTCTGGACCTTGTATTGGCCGTGAGCAGGGTACCAGGATGTTGCGAGCCTTGTCGGCTTCGTCGACTCGAGATGCGAGACTGCCAGCCCCTTGAGTTTGGTCCCACTGTTGTGTCCCCCCCCCCCCGCCCCCTCTGTCTTTTTCTTTTTGAAAGACGGGACCTGTGAAGTCTGATGGTCGTCACGACGACATCATTGGGTCCAGGTCGAGGCTTTCGGGTTTTGTCAACCACGCCCTTACAAGAGTTGCGGATGAAGGTTGGTCTTTCATGATTTTGGTGCTGGGAAGCATTGACCTCGGTGACTGACCAAGGCTTGCCCGGACGGCCAACTGTTTGCTAGATTATGCAACGTTTTCAAGTCGTACCCAGTGAGCAGGAGCTTTTTCTTGGCGATCGTCGCTTGGAGGGCTCAGAGATTACGCTTGGCATGCTGCAGATACCACCACAGAGCACAATTACGCTGCGCTTACCCGCTGGTGCGAGTGCCATATCTGATCAAGGAGAAGACCCACGAACATCGTCGGTAGAGCGTGGATTCCAGGGCACTGCCTTGCACTCGGGCACCCTTACATGCGCAGCAGAAACTTCAGCAGAGGTCCTCGACACTGATACGGAAAAGCCGCCGAACGATGGCCAAGACGTGGCCACAGACTGCACCATCAAGCACGAAAATATCAGCGACAATGAGATTTCTATCCTGGAGCCTCCCAGTGTATCGTCCACTAGGCCTGCTCCCTCTGGTGGGAAGCGCGCTATGCGAGAAGCAGCCGTCGGCACGGAGGTGGGGGAGACAGCATCGCAGCGCAAACATGGGTCGCGCTCGCAGTCACGGCGACGGTCCACACGATCATCAGTCGATGCGACAGAGTCGATGGAAGTTCGGGACACAGGGACCGACAACGTGCACGTTTTGAGTTCATCCGTACCTCAGAAGGCATCGTCGGTACAGCCGTCGGCGGCTGTCGCGTCGGAACCAGCGGCGAAACGGCGCAAAGCGCCATCCGTGCCCATGACTCCCACGCCACCACACTCAATGGCCTCTACATTGACTGCTCCACAATCTTCACCTCGGCCTTCGGGCAAACGGTTAGGAGCTCGATACAAGGTGACCAATCACGTTGTTTTGTCGCCTCGCCAGGCACAGAGCAACTAGCTTTGCGCAGAGCGCTCAATTATGGATGACCGGCGAATTGATTAAAGATTGAAGCGATCGATGGGCATTTGACTTTCAATGATGGACGTGGTGAAAAGCATGGACTCGATTTAGCCGATAGGCTTCGAATAAGGAGAGCAGTCAATCGCAGATTGCAACCACTCGCCAATCATGACTGGGACTTCACTCAATCCGAAGGAGACACATCGCAAGAACACCAACGCCATGCCTGAATTAAAACACACACACACACACACACACACACACACACACACACACACACACACACACACACACACACACACACACACACACACACACACACACACACACACACACACACACACACACACACACACACATAGGTTACATTTGAAGGTTGTTGAGAACAGACTGGAGGTGGTTGAGCTCTTCCGCATGGGCGTCCCGGTCTTCAGTAGGTAACGCGCCCAGAGCATCTTGACGTGCCCGTACAACCTAAAACAAAGCCAGACCAAGATGATTGGTATTGTGTGAGATTCACACAGGAGGGCACGATGAATTGGCAGGAACACTCGGCCGCGGCATCAACATATGAGTGGAGAACGAGAGAGAGAAAAAAAAAAGTCCACTTACACTAATGAAGCGCTCGTCGGCACGCGTCAGCTCATCAAGGAAGGCATTGCTTTGCTCCATGGCCCGTGTCACCAGGTGCAAGCCATGCTCCCACAATTGCGCGTCCTCATCGTTCAGGAGCACGTTGACGAGGGATGAAGCAAGTCCTGCCTCACGTAGTACAGCTGTGATGCAGGGGGGGAAAATAAGCAAATCGAAACGTAAAAAAAAGAAGAAATGAAGACAGGTGAGCGGTGCAAAAAGCAAGGTGAGGTACTCTTTGACGGATCTTACCAAGGGCATCAGGGTCGAGGCGCAGAAGGTGCTTCAGAAGGACGACGGCCTTGACGGCAAGGCGGATGTCATCACGTTGAACACATGCAAGCACATGGGCGTAGGAGTCGGGCTCGGACCGGAAGGCCTCCAGAAGCACGCTTGAGCCTCGGACCATGGCGCTAATGGCACGCAGTGCCTTGAGCTTGACCTATCACGCAAGGGGGCATTTAGACAGTGAGTGTCAGCAGGATCAAATTGGACGTTGGACGACGTGCTGAACAAGACTTTTGATACGCAGGACTGGGGGACAGGGGTACCTTGTTATCAGCATGGTCAAGAAGGGGGGCTATGAGTAGCATCAGGTCATTGTCGTGTGCCAGACTTTGAGCGTCAGGATTGTTCTGAGTAAGAACAGCGACGACGTCGGCGGCACGCCAGACTAGGCCCGCATGGGACGAGACGAGGTTGGTGGTGATGACAGGCACACCGCCAACCTTGGCCAAGTCGCGTGCCGTGTTAATATCCTCGCATTCTTCAGCCAAATCTTCGAGGGCTTCTTCGCGTTGAGCCACGGTGCTAGCCCGGTCGGTGAGAATTTCGATACAGTCGCGAACGCCAGCCATGTAGTCGCGGCCAGTCATGTCCTCAAACACCTTGCGCAAAAACTCGCGGCGCTCCTCGTCCATCTGATCAACCGTAGCGGCGACATCGGGGTTGTGAGCCGCGTTGGACACGGCCTCGGGGGTCTGCTCCACGAGCCAATTCAAAACCCCATTGAGCGTTTGCTGGGGCTGACTGCGAGCCGCAGGGGCTGCGCCACCAGTCCCAGCAGTAGCGTCAGTAGTTGGTACAGGCACCAAACTCATTGTGCTCGTCTCAGTAGCCGTCGACGACGTCGTGCAAGCCAATCAACAAAAAGCAGCAAAACACCAGTCTGTGTCTGATGCCAGCATCAACGCTGCCCAGGGCATACAAGTCCTGTACACGATTCAGCCGCAAGAGCACGATACAATTGGTTAAACAAGGTGAGGCAAAAGGTCAGAAGTGAAGGGGGACAGTTGCCGTCCAGCCAAAAAACAAGAAAATGAACCACAACACACACACAGATAGACAGAGAGAGACGCACACACACACACGCACGCACGCACGAACGCACGAACTGAGTCGCAGTCGCAGTCGCAGTCGCAGTCGCAGTCGCAGTCGTCGTCGCAGTCGCAGTCGCAGTGCTTTCAAAAATAGAAAGCATGCTCGAAACAAAATACAAAATCTCTGTTTGCTTGCTTCTGTGCCGTCGGAACAAAAGACATGCTGACAATTCGGTTCGAACGTGCGGGAAGGTGGTGGAAGCATCTGGCACAAGTGAGAGGCTTCCACTGCGATAACTCTTTAAACATCTGCAATAAGTCTGTACTGAAAGGTATAGCTAGCTTCAATTACTTCATACTTTGCTTCAAGACGAGCGTCGGCCAGCGTTTTGTTGTCAGCAAAACTCTCTATCATGAATGTACCTTAATATGTTGTTCAGCGGGATAGTTCGGTCACCTCCTTGAAAGTAACATATGTATTCCCTTTTTGTAACAACATATTGCTCTTGGGATTGAGGCAGGTGCGATTAATTGGCAGTCAGTATTTCGGGTCGTGCTCGGCCATTCTGTGTGAAGTACGTTTCAAATCAAGCACAGCAGAAGCGCTAAATTTTTGTGGATCAAACGAGGGTGCTCTTGTGTTCATACGCTTCCTGTGGATGCCGTAGCAGCCCAAAGACCAGAAAATTAGTTATTCTGAAATAAATCCCATTTCTTTTCCTTACAAAACTAACTTAGTTTTGATTCTCTAGGGCTACATGGCTCCGATTGGTATGTCAAATGGCAGCGCCATAAGACGAGTCAGCGAAGCAATGAGACAACTTGGTGGGTAGAGGCAGATGGACAAGACAAGTTCTGATTGATCAATGGTCATTCAAGGTTTATTTCGATTGACAAACGCCCGGGACGATTTTTTTTCCAAACACTTAGTAAGCAAGCTGTTTCCTTATTGGGTGGACTTAGACGATTTTCTCTTCTTGGGATGTGGTTGCCACTGCGCCACTCGTGCAAGGTGTGTTCGACGTGGAGACCGAGTTTGGACGATTGATGGGGAAGGGCTACGGTCCGCAGCGGCGCTTGAGGCTTCTCGTGTTCGCGCCTCGGTACTTGCATGTGATGTCTCTGATGCCGCCGTAGACGGCGTGGTGCACGGTGGACTTGTCACCTGAATGCAATGATGAAGACGAGGAATACAGATGAGAGTAGAGCCAACGAAGATGGAAGTACAAATGAGAATGAAGCGCACGATTCTCTCAGATACTCGTCGTGATCGCACGGAGCTACGCAGAGACCGGGAAGACGTACCAAGTGGCTGACATCGCCTCCAAAAGGCACACGGCTCAAGAGCTCCTGTTTTTTGCGCTGCCTTGCCGCCGTGCGACTCAAGGGGCTTTGACGCTTGGTGTTCTGCGCGTGGTGCGTTTCCGTGGGACCGAGCAAAAGACCGCTGCTTAGATTGGTAGTCAAGTCGGGATTGGGCGTCTTTGCTATGGCATCAGCATCTGGACAGTTGAAGGCGTTGGTGTTGGTTTGCAGCAAGGTCACGCGGGCATCGGTGGATGACGCGATTGAAGCGGCAATGTCTGAGGGAGGGACGACTGAAGCAGAGGCGACTGGAACAGGGTTGACTGAGGCAGGTGCAGTGGAGGTAAAAGTGGCGAGGGCAAGGTTGGAGGTTGTCCCAGCGGCCGGCGGTTCCGGCACGGCCACAGCAGTCTGGGTGGTACTGGCTGAGAGGGCGGCAAAAAAATTATTGGCAGAGTCTTCTCCTGCCTCGAGCTCTTCACGCGCCAAAGGCTGCACCAGGGTCTGCGCAGCCGAATCAGCTCCTTCGCCGCCGTTGGGCGAGTGTTCCTGATGGGGAGGATCGATAGGGCAAAAGGGCGCAAACTCATCATAGTCGTCAACGCTATCGTCGACATCGCTATCGTCGTCAACGCTATCGTCGACATCGCTAT